AGGGGACAGAGGGATTTAGATGGGTCAGGAGTTCTGGGGGGGGCTGTCAGGGGGTGGGGAGTGGTTGGATGGGGCGTGGGAGTCCCTGGTGTCTGTCTGGGGGTGGATAAGGGTTGGGGTAGTCAGGGGACAGGTAGGGGGTAGTGTCCTAGGGGGTCAGTTAGGATGGGGGGAGGGTCTCAGGAGGGGGCAGTTAGGATGGGGGAAGGTCTCAGGAGGGGGCAGTCAGGGGACAAGGAGCAGGGAGGCTTAGGTAGGGGGTGGAGTCCTGGGGGGCAGTCAGGGGCACGGGTCCCAGGAGGGCGCAGTCAGGGGACAAGGAGTGTGGGGGGGGAGGGTTGTGGGTTCTGAGGGGGGCGGGAAGTGGGAGGGGCAGGGGTGGGGCTAGGGCAGGGCTCCTCCCATCCTCTTTTTTGATTGTTGAAATATGGTAACCCTAGGTAAACCTACATGTTTCTGAAAATAATTAAGTATTGAGATCTAAGAAAGTGAAGATTTTGTCCCTCTGCCCATTAACTTTTTTATAAAAATACTACCACAAAGTTCAGTAGTTAAAGGCATATCTAGTTTCAGTACCTTAACATTTTTTATTAAACTACAATATCAAATCACATTGATGGCAGGGAGAACATCGCTGAGTTCTATTACCAGTGCATATTTCAGAAAATATGATTGAATCAGTGGCCTCCATAGTTTGCCGAGGACAGGGACCCATTTTGAACAGATTCCTTCGTATGAAAAAATGCAGTAGAAAAGTTTTATACAAAACCAGTAAAGGGTAATTGTTACCAAATGGGTAAATTAGGTCATGGAGGGAATCACTTCAACTGCAATAGCTTCTCTCCAATATTCAATGGGAGACCATTCAGAACCGGACTCACCTGTAGTAGTTCAACTTACCAATGTTTGGTGTTTCCTAGCGAAGTTATGGAACACAGCAAATACTGAAATTTGACAGTTTTTAAGTAGCACCCATTGAAGTGTGACTGCCTGTTCATAAACCCGCACAAATATTGTGTACTACTCCTTCATTTGTGAACTTACACTTGGTGATGCACACACTAATACAAATGTCTTTTTGAACTGTACTACTGAGTTATAAAAAGCTGCTTCATCTTCTAGAACAAACATTAATAGAAAGTAGCAGAAGAAACATTCTATACAGGAACAAGTAAAAAAAAACCTTTGAACTTCAGGCAAAAGTTAATTACACCAGGTGAATTTAAAAAACACAATCAAACCTCATTTTCTAACATTTATACAACTATTTCTCTAATTTCCAAACCACTGCTTAGCACAGTGGGTTGAAATTTCTTGATGGCACAGACATTACCACCTATGCCCTTCCAAGCACATTTTCCCATGAACAGATCATATTGTATCTAAGTCAACATCTCTTCCAACAACACACTGCTGATCTGGTGGACGGTTGTACTAGAGATACACAGGATAGCGTCAACCAGTCTTCATCTGATATTTTTCAGATTTCAGTAGTATATTCTGAACAGTAGGAACACAGTAAAGAAAAAGTTGTCTATTTCTACCACTAAGAGACCAAACTCTTTGCAAAATAAATGAAGGCAAGGGGGTAATTTGCATTCAAGATAGGACTGACTTGTATGTTTTCCCTATGTGATGAGTCTGGGGCAAGGTGTATTTTAATATAATGTTCTCATGCCCAGCCAGCTGGGGGTATGCTTCATACAGATGTTTGACAGTTTATCAGCTTCTTTGGGTTGGCTTAGTAACACCCATCCTTCCAGGAATCATCAGCAGTTGTCTGACTGGTCTTTGCTGACTGAGGAAATCTATTTTAAAAACACAAAAAAGTCAACACATCAGACAGCTTGATACATTGGGGTACATTTAAAAAAAAAAGCAGCAAGAAATGAAATGCTCATTAAAGCATAAGAAACCTGCTCCAAGAAACATATTCGTGCTCTAAGTTTTGAGACTGAATGCTGATATTTTTGCTTTTACAAAATCCATCTATCACAGAATTTTAGCACCTGCCCTACAGTCATGCCTTATAGTTCATAGTTCCCTGTTACACTCACATCCATTAAAGCCAGTCCCGTGTTCTGTGGCATGCTAGTGCAAGAGACAGGAAAAACTCTGCAGCAGGCTCAGGTAATGTTGAAAAAGGCTTTAAAGGTAGACATAGCAGCCATGGTCCATCTAGCCCAGTATCCTGTCTTCCAACAAGTGCCAGTACCAGTGGCAGATTTAGAGTTAGTGGGGCCCTTCCTTGGGACTCAGCCAAAAAAGAAAACTCTCTCTTATCTCCTCCCACCTTTTTTTCTTCATTCTCCTCCTATAAGTAATAGGAACTAAATGAAAATAAAGTGAAGTACCTTGATTTTTTTGTAGTCTAACTTATTTTTCCACAGACCACTTGAAAATCACTGAAGGTCTCGGCAGACCACTTAATGATCTTTCCAAATACTGTTTGTACTGTTAGCTAACTATTGTAAAGAGCTTTGGATAAGAGCGCTTTATAACAAAAAAAAAATTAAAAAACAATTGGGGTGTGGAGTCTGGCCAGGATTTAGGGTGCAGGAGGGGGCTTAGGCCTGGGGGTGCAGGGTCTGGGAGGAAGTTAGGGTGTCTGAGCAGGTTGGGGTGCAGGGTCTGGCCAGGAGTCAGGAGGGGGCTCAGGGCTGGGGGTGTGGAGCACTCACCTGAGGCAGCTCCCATTTGGTGTGAGGGGTGCATGGGGGTGGTGGGGGTGCAGGAGTCAGGGAGGGCAGGGGGCTGGGTGTGTGAGGGTGGTGCACGAGTCAGTGCAGAGGGCTGGGTCGTGGGGGTGCCTTTGCTCTGCCCTGCCCCGATTCCACCCCCTTCCCCAAGGCCTCATCCCCACCTATTCTCCGCCTCCTCCCCCGAGCATGCTGCGGCCCTGCTCCTCCTCCTCCCTCCCGAAGCACCAGCAAATGGCTGTTCGGCAGGGGGAACAGCGCTGGGGAGGGGGAGAGGCAGGAAAGTGGCACGTTTGGGGGAGGAGGTGGAAGACGAGGTGCAGAGCCTGCAGCAGGAGCCCCAGGAGTCATTAGGACCAAACTTCTGCCCCCACAGCTGCCTGGCCCTGGGGCCACCTGTCATTGGGGGGGGCCGTGTGCCAGGGCACCCTGTGTTTCACTGTAAATCTGCCTCTGGCCAGTACCAGATGCTTCAGAGGGAATGAACGGACCAGGCAATCAAGTGATCCCCCTATTGTCCAGTCCCAGCTTCTGGCAGTTAGAGGCTTACGACAACCAGAACGTGGGATTGCATCTCTGATCATCTTGACTAATAGCCATTGATGGACTTATCTTCCATAAACTTACCTAAATTTTTTTTTTACCCCAGTTATGGTTTGGCCTTCACCACAACTCCAGCAATGAGTTCCACAGGTTAACTGTTTGTGTGAAATAGTACTTTCTTTTGGTGGTTTTTAAAAAAGCTGCCTATTAATTTCATTGGGTGATCCCTGGTGCTTGTGTTATGTGAAGGGGTGAATAACACTTCCTTATTCATTTTCTCCTCTATCAACACCAAAATTCAGACAATTGTGGTTAATTTGTTACTTGTAACATCACCAACTGAAAGGAATCAGAGAAAAATATTTGTTCTACACACAGTAATTTAATTGTTTCTCTTGTTGGTGTGAATTCCTCCACAACAGTAGAGAAAAAAAGCCTATTATTTTTTAGACACATTTTTAAAAAATTGGTGTCAAGTATCAGGGGGTAGCCGTGTTAGTCTGTATCTACAAAAACAACAAGGAGTCTGGTGGCACCTTAAAGACTAACAGATTTATTTGGGCATAAGCTTTCGTGAGTAAAAACCTCACTAAA